ACCCCATCAGGACCCCAATAAGACCCCAGCCGTACCCCATCAGGACCCCAGTGGGATCTCACCTTCCAGCTCCTCCTTCTCATAGTGGATGTTGACCACATTGCTCGTCCTGCCCTGGTCAATCACGGCCTCCTCGTCGTGTCTCTAATGGGGAGAAAAAGGGAAGATTTGGGGCTGAGTCCGTGGAGCTGTGTCCATCACCACCCCATGAGGGTCACGGCTTCTCCTCCAGCCCCAAAAATCGAGGATTCATGCGGGGTTCTTCTCCCATTCCCAAATAAATCCCAAATAAATCCACCCATGTTCTGGAATTCTGGAAGGGTTACTGCGGGATGAAAGGGATTTCAGACCCAAATTTGGCCATTTCAGACCCAAATTTGGCCATTTCAGACCTAAAAAAAACCCAATTGCCTGTGTTTATTTTGTGGTTCCTTTCTTAAAAAAAGAAAAAATACTCGAGGATTTCCAAGCTGGGAGAAAAGAGCCACTTTTGTGGGTTCCTGAAGGACTCCACAAATCTCCGGGTGGCTCCTGGCTGATGACCTCCAAAAGMCCCCAAGGACCTGCAGAGGCGGCGCTTCAGCCCAGCAAGGCTCAGGTTCCCCCCGGTGGGGTTTTTCCATGGAAAACATCATTTTCCACCTTTTATTTGAGATTTCTGAGCAGTCTGGGCTGCTGKGAAGTGTCCCTGTCCACGGCAGAGGRGTGGAGTGGGATGGTCTCATGATTTTCCAACCCAAACCATTCCATGATCCTTTTATGCCTCAAACACTGAAGGAAAAATGTCACCGCTGTTCCCCTTCCCCTTCCTTGTCCCCCTGGACAATCCAAAAACCCAAAATTACAATCGGGCTCAATAAATTGCAATTTATTTTAAATCGCAATTAAATTCTTTGTATGTTGTATTTTTAATCTATTATACTTCGTTTTTTTCACTATATTTCATATTAATATCATATTTTATTTTAATTGCAATCGGGGCTCGATAAATCACGATTAAAAAYGGGAATTTTAATAAAACTTTGAAGTGGCAGCGGGAGTGGGAGTAAAGGATTTGGGAACGGCATTCAAACCTCCCGTGGGTGGCACAGGGAGTTTCCTTCTCTCCCGAAAAAATATTTTCACAAACCTCCCCTCCAGGGAAACCCCAGCAGGATTTGGGGTTTTTTCCCCAAAAACCCCCCAG